GAATTGAGATAGCAACTTGCGCTTTGGGTAACTCTTAGTTGGGCATTCGAGGCCGTATTCCTCGGCTGCCAGGAAATTAGTCCATCTATCATTGAGTAAATCCTCATCGGCTTGAAGTTATTGTCACTTCTTTTCAGGCTTCTTGCTGTGGCTATTAGCCAGCGTTTAAAGCGCTCTTATTCGAGGGGGTCCTCTGGTATGATGAAGTCTTCGTCGCCCAGGCTCTCGTCCTCTTCGGAGGTCGGTAGGTAGTTACTATCCTACGAGCCCTCGTTCCCAATAGGATCATCGGGGTTGACTTTCCCCTCTTCCCAATCATCTTGTTCGGATGTTGTAAGTGCATCTAGTGCCCCTTAGTGATTTTGGTGTATTGAAGACTTATAGGTTAAGGGACTAATGCGTTTGTGAGTGTACACAGGTCTATAAGTCTATGAGGAGTTTGATATTTACAGGGAAAGTCGACCCCTAAAAATGAATATCTTCGACTGAAGATTTTGGTATTTCTGAAGACTTTCATGAAGACTTTGAAAGTGAAGAAATTGGTGTTACCGTGAAGACTTGATATTCATGCGAGGAATATGAAGCTTGAAGACTTCGTTTTCATAGTTTTGTTTTTCTCTTTCTTGAGTCATAGGAAACACCGTACTGTTAAAGGGGGTCGAGGAAATACTAAGGAAAAATTTCCAAGTGATGCTCAACTCAAAATCCTACACCTACCAAACCCTTCGAGTGAAGCCTTTGGAAATCTCATACAGTTCAGTCAATTTCTTCAGTGACAGAGACGAAGTTCTTCTGGTCACTGAGGAATTTGTTCTGACTGAGGAGTTAGGAATTCGCCAGTGCGGATTGCCTACACAGTGAGGAACATGATAGCCCTGAGGAATTTGATAGTCAAATTTCCGACCATTGCTGTGCTACGCGCCAGCTGTCCTAAAATATCTTATCCACCTAACGGTCATATCAGACAAGGGCATTTATGTCTTATCATGTCGGGCTGCTCCCTAGGCTATAGATAGCCGCCCCCTACAACCACTAGTTGGTTGGCTGCTCCGAGAGAAACTGACACTTGTCATTTGAGAGCAACCCATCCTCCGAGGACTTTGAGTGAAAATCATCAAGTGAGGAAATCCCAAACCCAAACCTACAAAACCCCAAGTGATTGAGCATCACTTAAGAGATTGATCCTGCGTGGATCCGACGCTTGTTTCCTTTCAAGACTGTGCTTCTTCCAGACGGTTAGGCGTCATAGTCTAGAGCATCCAAGAGGAATTGTGGATCACCGAGTGACCGAGTCTGTGAAGGTTTGGAAGTCGCCTGAAGACTTACCACGAGTGATTGGATGAGGTCTGTGTGACCTTAGTTCAAGGAGAATACGGTGAGGACTTGGTGTCCTGAGCTGCGTGCTCAGCGACTGGGTGTCCGGAACTGTGTGTCCTCGAGTTTAAATACTCAGCCGCTCCAACGAGACGTACAACTGAGACAACAGTTGGAACTGGTCTAACAAATCATTGTCTTCACCAACCTTACTGGTTCTATTTCCTCAACTCTTTCATTTTCTCATTACTATGTTGAGTGATTGTTCATATCTGTGTTTGAAGACTTTGACTGAAGACTTTCTCAATTTCCTCAGTCCAATTTCTTCAGTCTGTTTGTCTTCATCTTGTGTTATCCTGTGTTTACGCTTTCTGTACTCTGTGCTTGTCTTCATTTCATCATGATGACTATGTTTGTACCCTGTTATGCTTACTTCTGAGTACTTATTCCGCTGCTAGTAGTTCTTCGCTAAGAAATTTCCTCACCGGCAAATTCCTCAGTGAAGAATTCATAAAAATTGCCTATTCACCCCCCTCTAGTCGATATAACGCACTTTCAGATGTTGGCTCAACCGGGGCGTCTTGGTCTTCGGCGTTCTCCGGGGTGTTATTTTCTCCCGTGCCGTTATTGCTGTCTTTTTCGCGACGTGATTTTGATCTGCGCCGTTGATGTCGACGCTTCGGAGGTGCTTAAGCAGGCTCGTCCTCTAGATTCTTCCCATCATTGGCGTCATTCTCTTTGGGTGTGTCCACCATGTGTACGTCATACGAGGAAGTGGCCGTCCAGCGTCCGGTAAACGGCGGGTTCTGGCTTTGCTCCTCTTCGGCATCGTCGTCCATACCGTCGAAGTCTTCGGAGGCGTAATCTAGGATGTCGGTTAAGTCATCGACAGTGGCTATAAAGTGGGTGGTGGGTGGGACGTAAAATTCCCCGCCTTCAGCCCCTAGTGTGGGCTGGGCGTACCTTGGCAGTGATCCTTCCGTAATGGCGAGGGATCACATTAAGTCCAGAGCCTCGTTTTAGAGTGAGGTTTGGACCGGGGAGCGAGGGTCCATGGAGCAGGGCGGGACAAGAGTTCCTTGGCCGAGCTCATGTAACACGAACCTCGAGAGTTCGGATCCGGTGTTCAGGCATGAGTCCGGCTTCGTGTTGATGAAAGGAGCCTGGTACGACTTCGGGCCTACTGGTGAAACGATTCCCTCCCTGTCTTCGGTGTTGAGCTCTATGGTTGCAGAGAGTCCAGCGGTCTCTAAACTCCCATTTTCGGACTCGGCGAGGTGTTCCGGATCTAAGGCCGGAGCTACGGTCGAGGCCGCGAATCCTTGGAAGATCACGTCTCCTCAGATATCAGAGACGTAGCTTAGGTTTCCAAAACTGATCTGATGACCAGGGGCGTAGCTGTCGATCTGCTCCAGATGGCCAATCGGATTGGCATGCAGTGCGAAGCCGCCGAATACAAAGATTTAGCCGGGGAGAAAAGTCTCCCTCAGGGCGGTATTGTTGTGGATGATTGATAGAGCCATCGAGCCTTCTAGTGACGACACAGTGGAACTCTCAATGAAAGCACCAATGTCGGTGCCAAAACCGGCAGATCTCGGGTAGGGGGTCCCGAACTGTGCGTCTAAGGATTGAAGGTAACAGGAGGCAGGGGACACGATGTTTACCCAGGTTCGGGCCCTCTTAATGGAGGTAATACCCTACCTGCTTGATTGACTTTGATGAGTATAGGGGTTACAAGAGTCGATCTACCTCGAGATCGTAATGGCTAAACCCTAGATGTCTAGCCTGTATGATTGTGATTGCCTTACAGGCTAAACCCTTTGATTTATATAGACACGAGAGGGATCTAGGGTTGTACAGAGTCGGTTTACAGAGAAAGGAAGGTGCATGATCCGAATGCCGAGCTTGCCATCCATGCACAGGAGAGTCCCATCCGGACACGGGAAAAGGTTTTTAATCTCGTATCTTCACGGCCCATTAGTCTGGCCCATATCACATAGCCCGAACGTCCGAGGACCCCTTAGTCCAGGACTCCCTCAGAGCTTTCCTGGATCAGCGCTACTGCAAACTAGTAGCAGCGGTGACTATTTTCTAGCGCTACTACTAAGCTCCTGTGTATAAGCATTTCCCTAGTAGTGCCCGCCGCCACGCTGGATCGCCGTCGCCTAGAGACACCGCTCGGGGTCGCCCCGTCCCGCGCTGGCGGACCCCGAGAGGGGAAAGGTCAGGGGGCCGCCGCCACCAGCGTCGCCCGGGCCAGGCCCGCAGCGGGCTTCGGCGACGACGGCAAGGAGGAAGAGGGAGGGGGAGGCGCGCGGGGGAGGAGGATGGGCGCGGCCGGCCGGCCGCAGGGGCGGCGCGGTTACAGGAGAAGCCTTTCTCTCTCATCCTCCTCTTTCTCCAAACCATTCTCTCTTGATCAGACATAGTAGTCCCATTCTCTCTTGATCGGACATAGTAGTCTTAAAGGTGCAGAGTTACCACTAGCACAAATTTGATTTCAAGTCAAAGGTCGCTTTTTTAGGGATCCTGGATTGAAATAGTAGCATATAAAACCACCCAAACATGGCAGATACAATACATTATACATTTATATTGTGTGTAGTCTAGTGCATTATATTTCGCAGGACACGTGTCTAGTTGCATCCTTCCAACAAACGAAAATTCAGTTTCGCATCAGGGAGCTTGGTGGCTTCGCTAGCATAACAACTTTGCAAAAAGTACCGGCCACACCTGGAGATATTGTTTCTTACTACTTAAACATCAAATATTGCCTCGCCCGAGATATGCCCTCTCTGACTAGTTTATTACAGCTCCATATTCGTCGAAAACTATCCGCGGCGAGAATATGCCATCTCGAATTTGTCTATCAGTTCTTGCTCATCCTTCTTCTTTGGAATTTTTGAAGGACGAAGTGTATCAAGGGCATCACACAACTCGCATCGCTCATCTCCTTTCAGAATTATTGTCTGCAAATTCGGAGCTCGCTCCAGCATGGACTTTATAAACTGAGCGGGGGAGACTTTTATTTTTTGAGACAAAGACAAAGATACGATGAAAACAGATTCCACAACGACTGACAACGGGTCCCAGACAGTACCCCAGCCTAGAGGCATCAGAATCAAAATCGGGAGACACACCCTTTTTTTAGGGCAAATCGGGAGACACATCCAAATCGGTTGGCCTCAGTTGACCGATAGGTACATGCGGCAGCCCACGATGGCACATGGGCTACTGATTGCACCAAAAATCAAGCTGGGCTATCATTAATCAAGTCAATAGTCGGCCATTAGCACATGTACAGTACACTAACCCCTAAAAAAACATGTACAGTACACTAGCGTATAGCATTTGCAAAAAAAAAAAAAAGGGTAACGTATACCAGAAAGTCGTCCCCTGCTATCTCATCAAAAAAAAAGTCTTCCCCTGCTCGGTGGCCCCTCTCTCCGCCGCACGCGCAAGCTGACATACAAGGTGGAGGAGAGAAGTCCCACCAGCACTTCTCCAAGCTGTAGCCAGACTGTTCTAAACCAAAGGAGAAAACCCCTGTAGCCAGACACCATAGCTAGCCCTCTTCTATATAAGAAACTCAAGTTCTCACAGGACCTCCCGGTAGAGAGGCGCAGAAGGATTGACCGGAGCCAGCCCACTCAAGGTTGTGTTGCTGAGTTGAGACACGCATCGCAATGGGGAGCAACGAGATGGTGGTGGTGCCGGAGATCAAGCACACCAAGCTCTTCATCAACGGCGAGTTCGTCGATGCCGCCTCGGGTACGTCGTCATGATCAATTAGTTTGTGCGTGTGAAAAGATTCATATGCTTTATACTGGCCATATATGCTCCAATTCGGTGGATAACTACGCACTAGCTATCTTCCCTTTGTCGTCTTCGCCAACCAAGATGCATGTCGATAAGATTGACGTATCGTCTATTCGTTTGAGTTCTAGCAATCAGTACGTCCCAAACAAGCTGATCCAAACGAGGTGCTAGAATCCATACATCAGTTTTCTTTGCCGGTTCGAACTGCTCAACTTGGTATCGATAAAGCATCTACATATGCTCAATGAAATATCTTCTTTTTGTTCTTTATTGGCCGTACAAAATCTACATGACTCGGTGTTGTGTGCTCACCTTTAAGTTTCATGAATATATTTGCATTCTTGTAACTCCGCGCAAAAGGTAGCCATGGTTGACTTTGTAGTTTTTTTTTTGCGGGAAGACTATAGTTTCTTTTCTGACATAAATTTGTGGAAATACAGTTCATGCAAGTATCTTTAATGCAAACAAGATTTCGTAAATGTATGTAGCCACTTTTTAGACATTCCCCGCCTGAACCAAGTTGGCCTTCATATGCATGGTGTTTTCGACCAATCGCCCGTGCTTATATTTCTTAAATGTGCATCACGGAATAAACGCAAAGAACTGAAATTAAATTTGATTGTGGCTTGGCTTGGCTCGCGAGTCGTTGTTTCTGAGGACTGAATGACTTACATGGAAAAATCAGTATGAATATTCTCTCGGAACTGCAGTAGCTAGAGATATCTTCTGTTGCTACCGTCAGAACAAATACGAGAACGACCTTGCTATGCGTACGATGAGTTCCTGTTGAACACTGTACAATTAGAGACAATCATAGAGAACTCAGTTTGTGGGCCATATCATCTAGAGATGACTTGCTCTCTGGTTGTACTGCTCAGACGAGAAAAGCATCGTATGCAAAGCAGTTTCGATACGAGTGTAAAACAAAAGACAATAAAAAGGAGAATAGGTTAAGACATAAGTATCATTTTCTCCTTCCCCTGCCTCTCTTGGTACAGTGAACGCCACGAGGAGGGACACATGTCTTTCTTGACTTTGCAAATGTATTCTACTCGCTGTCACTGATACGGACCAACTTGCCTAATATCCTTGTGGATGAAGCCCAGAAATCTATGATTTTGCTTGTGAAATACTATCTGCCTGCTCTCTCCATCGATCAGGCCAAAGTTGTCTCTGTCATGTTCACGAGATTCTTCGCTTTAAAAAACGTTCACGAGATTCGACGGAAGCAGATGTACACATCATCCCATAACTTACAGAATTATTGCGACACGGTATTCTATACCCTTGATTTCTAATTGCCGCCACTGGATGTTTGTATATGCATGCTGTTGGAATATTAGGCAAGTTGATGATTAATTTAAGTAAATAATTCATGGGTAGAACAGAATATTATGCATGCTGTATGCTACCGCCCGCCGGTCGACGCTGGCGGCTGGTGGCCACAATCGAGGGAGAAATGCCGACGTGATTTGCTGGTGGATTTCGTTTTCAGGGAAGACGTTCGAGACGCGGGACCCACGGACAGGCGACGTGCTGGCCCACATCGCAGAGGCGGACAAAGCCGACGTGGACCTCGCCGTCAACGCCGCCAGGGAGGCCTTCGAGCACGGCAAGTGGCCCCGCATGTCAGGCTACGTACGTGATCCGGCACCCCCGGCCCTGTCGCCTGTAGCCCATCGGACAAATTGCCTGGCAACTCACTCGTCGCCGGCGTCCGTGCATGCATGCAGGAGAGGGGCAGGGCCATGCACAAGCTGGCCGACCTGATGGAGCAGCACACCGAGGAGCTGGCGGCGCTGGACGGCGCCGACGCCGGCAAGCTGCTGCTGCTGGGCAAGATCATCGACATCCCTGCGGCGGTGCAGATGCTGCGCTACTACGCCGGCGCCGCCGATAAGATCCACGGCGACTCGCTGCGCGTGTCCGGCAAGTACCAGGGCTACACCCTCAAGGAGCCCATCGGGGTCGTCGGCATCATCATCCCGTGGAACTTCCCCAGCCTCATGTTCTTCCTCAAGATCAGCCCGGCGCTCGCCGCCGGATGCACCGTCGTCGTCAAGCCCGCCGAGCAGACGCCCCTCTCCGCGCTCTACTATGCGCACCTTGCGAAGCTGGTAATTAATGGATCTGTCTGCAAGTGAAACACTGTCGATGTGAACTAGTAGTAGTAAAAACCAACCTGTCCTCACGTGTTTCAGGCTGGCATTCCGGACGGAGTGATCAATGTCGTCCCTGGCTTCGGCCCGACGGCCGGCGCCGCCATCGCATCCCACATGGACGTTGACAGCGTGAGCAGAGCACAAATGATCATTATTAGCACCGTGCCATGCATTTCTCCTCTGTTTACACTATCCTAATGAAAGGTAATTCTACCACCACCTCGATCAGGTTGCCTTCACTGGCTCTGGTGAAGTAGGCCGCCTCATCATGGAGGCATCTGCACGGAGCAACCTGAAGACAGTGTCGCTTGAGCTCGGCGGCAAGTCGCCTCTGATAATCTTCGACGACGCCGACGTCGACATGGCGGTCGAGCTCTCAAGGCTTGCCATCTTCTTCAACAAGGTAACAGATAGCATTCTCTCCACAGAGGATAAAATGAACAAATACTAGTAAACAATCCCACAGAGCAAAAGACAGACACTGACCATATATATACTGCTATCTGAATCTGAACTTTCAGGGAGAGGTTTGCGTTGCGGGGTCTCGTGTTTATGTTCAGGAAGGGATCTACGACGAGTTCGTGAAGAAGGCTGTGGTGGCTGCACAGAACTGGAAAGTCGGAGACCCGTTTGATGTCGCCACCAACATGGGTCCCCAGGTACATTACGCCTTAATTTTTCATCAGCCATGCTCAAATTCGAGGAAAACGCGCACAGACTAGTCGGGGTCATGGGATGAAGTGTATTGTAGGTCCCTGAATTATCTTAGAGGTGTCATGTGGTCCTCAAACTATGAAAATCGGCATCCAGGTTTTTGAAGTGCAGTAAGTGTGTCGATCAAATCCAAAATCTGTTCGACCCCGGCTGACCGGCCAGCTAGCGCCGTTGAAGTGTGACGTAGGGGGGGGGGGGCACAAGGTAACGGCCCGTGACGGAAATATGAAAATATGTTCGTGAGCGGTACATTTGAAAATATGTTCATGAACCACAAAAATGTTCACAAACAATTTTTATAAAAAGTGTTCACAAATTTAATAAATCTTTATTATTTTGAATAAATTAATAATCTTTATTTTTTGTGAATTTAAAAATGTTCACTTATTTACAAAAACCTTTCCGGTTAAAAATGTTCGTTAATTTTAAATATGTTTATGAATTTACAAAATGTCTCATAATTTAATTGTTCTAGGTTTCAAAAATGTTCGTGTATAGTGAAAAAATGTTCATGACTTTAAAAATATCCCTAGCATTTTCTAATTTATCGTTCATGACTTTAAATGTTCATTAATTTGTGTTTCGCGGACACATTTTCAAATTTATCATTGGTGAATAATTTTTTTAAAGCTGTGAACATTTTTTCCACATTCGCTAACTTTTTTTGGAACCATGAATTTGAATTTATTTGGAGTGAAGTGCATTTATCATTCAGTGGAATTTATTTGCATATTTCCATCACCAGCCGTTACCTTGTGGGCCCCCTCTATCCGACGTGTCATGGGTCAACGGTGCCAACTGGCAGTCAGGTGGGGTCGGACGGATTTTGGACCTGAATGACACACTAACTACACTTCGAGGGCCTGGGTGCCGATTTTTATAGTTTGAGGACCTACATGACACGCTTAAAATATTCTTGAGACCTAAAATGCACATCAGTCGGTTCATGGCCGGAAAGGAAGTGGCAAACATAATATTTCAACCGTTGCTTTGCTTGAATCTAGGTTGATAAGGAGCAATTTGAGAGGGTCCTAAGGTACATTGAGCATGGCAAGAGTGAGGGGGCGACTCTGCTCACCGGCGGCAAACGTGCCGGCGACAAAGGATACTACATTGAGCCAACCATATTTGCAGATGTCAAGGTAATTTGAACTTCTAGATAGATGCACATCAGTATTGCTTCAGAGGAAAACAATTGTGCATCGCCTGCATTTACACGGATTGACAGTTTGACACTAACACATGCTCACGTACGTGGCTTCCACAGGAGGATATGAAGATCGCCCAAGATGAGATCTTCGGCCCTGTGATGTCCCTCATGAAGTTCAAGTACGCCAAAGTTTTCACAATTTCACCTGACGAAAATTAAACTGGTTCTTCGAATTATAATTATGAACTTCTAGTGTCTGACGAAGTGCCTTTTTGCCCGCCTGTGTGTGCACTCTGCAGGACGGTCGATGAGGCGATAGAGAAGGCCAACTGCACCAAGTACGGGCTGGCCGCCGGGATCATCACCAAGAACTTGGACATCGCCAACAAGGTGTCGAGGTCGGTTCGCGCGGGGACCGTGTGGGTGAACTGCTACTTCGCCTTCGACCCCGAGGCGCCCTTCGGCGGGTACAAGATGAGCGGCTTCGGCCGGGACCAGGGGATGATGGCCATGGACAAGTACATGCAGGTCAAGAGCGTCATCACCGCAGTCCCTGACTCGCCATGGTATTAGATAGACAAGACAATGCAAGTTTCTTAATTTTGTGCATTGTACATGCTTGTTGAGTTTTTTTTTTTGATATCTACATGCTTGTTGAGTTGGCCGTGCTTGTGTAATGTTCCTTTGTTTCTTCCGAATACGATGAGTGAATTAAAAAAAAACACCACATTTTATGTTCAAATCCAAATTCGTGTGGTTACTGCGTTTCAACAGAAAAGTTGGCCCCCGTGTTACTCCGCACGATGACCAACTTTTTTTTTTGTGACTTAACCTTTTTCTGCAACTACTTATTCTATGAACTTGAAAGTTCATCTCCATTATAACCTAGTGGTTTAATTAAAAACCATCTGAGAGGATAAATGATTTCAGTAAGTGTGTTTCAGTACTTTGGACTAATTTTCATATCCAGATCCATGGCTTTATATGGAGTAACCAAAAACTACCACATTTCATGGAAACATGCCCAGAAACTACCACTTTACAAATTTGTGCCGAAAACTACTTTTTGCTAATCTGTGACTAAAAACTACCATGTCGAAAAAGTGCCCGATTCACTTCTTCTAAACGCCTTTCTGACAGGATGGGCCCACAAGTCAGGTTGACCGTTATTACAAATGGGGCCCACACGTCAACCCTCTTCTTCCTCTTCTCTCTTCTGTAAGTGCATCTAGTGCCCCTTAGTGATTTTGGTGTATTGAAGACTTATAGGTTAAGGGACTAATGCGTTTGTGAGTATACACAGATCTATAAGTCTATGAGGAGTTTGATATTTACAGAGAAAGTCGACCCCTAAAAATGAAGTTCTTCACCTTTAGACTTTGATATTCTGAAGACTTTCTGAAGACTTTGAAAGTGAAGAAATTGGTGTGACCTTGAAGACTTGGTATTCATTTGTGGAACATGAAGCGTGAAGACTTTTGTTTTCGTAGTTTCATTTTCTCCTTCTTGAGTCATAGGAAATATCGTACTGTTAAAGGGGGTCGAGGAAATACTAAGGAAAAATTTCCATGTGATGCTCAACTCAAAATCCTACACCTACCAATCCCTTCGAGTGAAGCCTTTGGAAATCTCATACAGTTCAGTCACTTTCTTCAGTGACAGAGACGAAGTTCTTCTGGTCACTGATGAATTTGTTCTGACTGAGGAGTTAGGAATTCGTCAGTGCGAATTACCTACACAGTGAGGAACATGATAGCCATGAGGAATTTGAGAGTCAAATTTCCGACCGTTGCTGTGCTGCGCGCCAGCTGTCCCAAAATATCTTATCCACCTAACGGTCATATCATTGAGGGGCATTTATGTCTTATCATGTCGGGCTGCTCCCTAGGCTATAAATAGCCGCCCCCTACAACCACTAGCTGGTTGGCTGCTCCGAGAGAACTTGACACTTGTCATTTGAGAGCAACCCATCCTCCGAGGACTTTGAGCGAAAATCATCAAGTGAGGAAACCCAAAACCAAACCCCTACAAACCCAAAGTGATTGAGCATCACTGAAGAAATTGATCCTGCGTGGATCCGACGCTTGTTACCTTTGAAAACTGTGCTTCTTCCAGACGGTTAGGCGTCAAGGTCTAGAGCATCCAAGAGGAATTGTGGATTGCCGAGTGACCAAGTCTGTGAAGGTTTGGAAGTCGCCTGAAGACTTACCACGAGTGATTGGACGAGATCTGCGTGATCTTAGTTCAAGGAGAATACGGTGAGGACTTGGTGTCCTGAGCTGCGTGCTCAGAGACTGGGTGTCCGGGACTGCGTGTCCTCGAGTTTAAATACTCAGCCGCTCCAACCAGACGTACAACTGAGACAGCAGTTGGAACTGGTCTACCAAATCATTGTCTTCACCAACCTAATTGGTTCTATTTCCTCAACCCTTTCATTTCCCCATTACTGTGTTGAGTGTTTGTTCATATCTGTGTTTGAAGACTTTGACTGAAGACTTTCTCAATTTCCTCAGTTCAATTTCTTCAGTCTGTTTGTCTTCATCTTGTGTTATCCTGTGATTACGCTTTCTGTACTCTGTGCTAGTCTTCATTTCATCATGATGACCATGCTTGTATTCTGTTATGCTTACTTCTGAGTACTTATTCCGCTGCTAATAGTTCTTCGCTAAGGAATTTCCTCACCGGCAAATTCCTCAGTGAAGAATTCATAAAAATCGCCTATTCACCCCCCTCTAGTCGACATAACGCACTTTCAATTGGTATCAGAGCGAGGTACTCCCTTGTTCTGTGTGATTTTGGTTTAACCGCCTGGAGTTTTAGTTATGTCGACCGCAGGTATGATCAAGGTCTCGGCTGGGTGTCCTACCTTTGATGGGACGGACTACCCCTACTGGAAAAACAAGATGCGAATGCATCTCGAGGCAATTGACAATGATCTCTGGTATGTTGTGGAAAATGGTGTTCCCTCTGTTACACCCTCAGTGAACGCTACTGATGTGAAGAGATTCAGTCAACTCGATTCTCAAGCGAAGAATATCATATGTGGCCATCTGAGTAAAGGACAGTATGGAAGAGTGAGTGCTTTGGAAACTGCTAAGCTTATCTGGGATAGGCTGTCCAAAGTGAATGAAGGAGTCTCAACTCAGCGCGACTCTCGAGTTGATGTTCTTCGGAATCTCTTCAACCGCTTCAAAAGACTCGACAATGAAAATGTCCAACAAACCTTTGATCGCCTCACTGACATCTCAAATGAGCTTCAAGCCCTCGGTGCCACTGACATCACTGACCATGAGGTGGTGAAGAAACTGTTGAGATCACTTGATTCCTCATTTGATACTCTGGGTCTGATGATACAAGAACGGGCTGACTACAAGTCTCTTGATCCTGCCGATATCCTCGAAAGGCTAAATACTCACGAGTTCCAGCTTGCTGAAAAGAGGGATCTCTATGGTTCGTGCTATGGCAAACTACGTGCCCTGAAACCCAAGGTTGTGTCTGAGTCTGAATGTGAGGACTCTGGTAGTAGCCTTGGTGATCCTGAAGAATAGAGCCAGGAGCTAGCACTGCTCGTGAAGAAATTCCAGAAGTTCTCAAGACGTGGTCGCTTTGGAAAATCCTCAAGAAGCAGTGATTCCTCATCAAGTGACTATAAGAGAAGGATGTGCCACAAATGCAAGAAACTTGGTCATTATATTCAAGATTGTCCTTAGTGGGAAAAGGAATTGAAGAAGAAGAAATACAAGGATTACAGTTCTGATGATGCGAAGAAGAAGAAGAAATCGTCAAAATCTTCTTCATCAAAATCCTCGAAGTCTTCATCTCACAAGAAGAGCAGCTCCAAGAAGGCTCGGGCATTCATTGGCAAGGAAATGGACTCTGAAGCTGAATCTGAGGAAAATGAGGAAGAGGAGGAGTCTGAAGAATCCGAATTTGGTGTGGCGAGTCTGGCCTTCGCTACTTCTTTCATTAGCAAGTCCATCTTCAACACTGAAGAAACTGACCCCACCGACAAGCCTGATGAAGATAATGATGACTACGCTCCCACCTATTGCTTTATGGCAAAAGGTGCAAAGGTACTCAAATACACCTCCTCTGAATCTAGTGAAAATGAATCTGATGAGAATCTCAAGCCCAGCTACTCTAAACTTGCTAAGATTGCTGTAAAACAACAAAGGGCTTTTGAAAAGGTTCAAAACATGCTAGACAAAAGTGATGATATGTTAGGTGAAGAAATGGATCGCACTAAAGCCCTGACTGAAAATCTTCAGAGACTTCAGTCTAGGTTTGATAACCTTTAAAGTCATCATAACACTCTCTTATCTGATCATGAGAAACTTTCTTATGAATTTCTTCAAAGAAAGCAAGATCTTGAGAAGCTAAGAGTGAGTTATGAAGATCTTCAGAAGGAGCGCGATTCATTACTAGCTCAACAAATCAGCGCTTCTCAGGAAGAATTTGTTCCTCCATGCTTAAAGTGCATTGAACGAGAATCTGCTAATTCTTCACCTGAATGTTCAAATGCTTCAACTGTTACAAATTCTTCACCTGCCTCTGCTATCACTAATTCCTCATCTGAGGACATTGCTAGTATCACTGATGATGCAGGGCTGAAGAAATTGTACACAACAGGCATGTACAAAAGCCTCAAAGGGCATCAGATTCTTTGTGATGTGCTCAAAAAGCATATCCTCAACAGAAACCCTAGGAAAGAGGGTATTGCCTTTGAGAGGAAACTTAATGCTGATGGAACATATTGGAAGCCTGAGCAGTACCCCAAAACCTCATGGGTTGCTGCAAAGGGACCTCCAGTTGATCCATCTAACTTATCTGGCTTTACATGTGAATCTTCTCATTCTTCTGATGAGTCATTTGACTCCAACTATAAACTATTCAAAAATCAGAATGGTGAAGTATTTGCTAGATATGTTGGGACTAACTGCAGGAACGGTTCCCCTATGAAGAAAATCTGGGTTCCCAAAAGTTATGTTGAAAGTCTTCGGGTGAATGTCCTCATGACACCACCTGTGAAGAACAGGAACCCCAGATCCAATTCTTCATATGGACCTAATTCTTCACATGGATCAAATTCCTCAAATGGATCAAAGTCCTCATATGATTATCATCGTGCTAACAACTCTGTTTCGTAGGGTAGAGCTAAGGGCTATGAATATGCACATTATTCTTCAAATCATTATGTTCATAAGTCCTCAAAGAATTTCTCTGCTTATTCATATGCTTACTCTAACCCCTCTTATGTGAAACGAAATGGTTTGGCCTCTATGCCACCATTCTCTTATGGTGCTCGCAGAGTGATGAACTCTTTGCCACCCCTTCAGATGTGGGTGGTGAAGAAAAAGAACTAATCTCTTCTGCAGGGTCAGGTCTCCAGACGTGCTTTAACGTCTAAAGAATTTGCTGGGGACCTAACAAAATTGCCTGAAAGGACGCAGGATAATCATGATGAAATGAACTTCCATTTCACATGTCCTCATAATGCTATATCTGTTTACTGCTTGATGAATTTCATCTGATGAACTTGATATCACATTCTTCATTGATGAAGCATATGAGATTGTAAGTTACACTAATTCATCTGCAGGATGATCAACCCAAAACCACTGAATGGGTCCTCGATAGTGGATGTACAAATCACATGACTGGTGACAAGAATCTTTTGATGGATGCTCCCTTATCACCGTCACATCTGAAGCATATCATCTTTGCTGACAAAGGCAAAAGTCAGGTATTGGGTCTTGGTAAGGTTGCGATCTCTAAGGATAAACACATGGACAAAGTCATGCTTGTTGAGTCCTTAGGATACAACCTCATGTCAGTCTCAAGGCTTTGTGATCTTGATATGGTTGTTGTCTTTGGCAAGTATCGCTGTGTTGTGATTATGGAAGCTGACAATTCCAAAGTCTTCGAAGGCTTTAGGAGAGGATACTTGTATATTATTGATTTCTCTACAGGACCACAACCAGCTGTGTGTCTACTTGCAAAAGCTTCAGAAGGCTGGCTATGGCATCGACGACTTGGTCACGCAGGCATGAGGACTTTGCACACGCTTGCAAAGAAGAAGCATGTCATTGGCATTGAGAATGTCAAATTCCTCAAGGATCACTTATGCGGAGCCTGTGAAGCTGGAAAAATGACCAAGGCCAAGCATCCAGCAAAGACTATCATGACCACTACTTGTCCATTCGAATTGCTTCACATGGACCT